CTGCCATGAATAGAGTTCTTTCCTTCCTGAACAGTTAAGTGCTATGCAGTTCAGCATGCTCTGGTATAATACCTTTTATTCAAAAGTTTCATAATCCATTTTACAGATAAAAGTAGATTAGGAAGATAGGCTTGGTGAGAGTGACTTTCATATGGCAAGGGAAGAAGCCACATGTGGAGCTGGGAACAAAGGATTGAAGAGCGAAAAAGCAGAATTTGCATTAGCAAAGGGAAAGTAAATATGGTTTCCCTGTAGTCAGACAAGAGATGGATAAAAGAAGCTGCAATGAGAATGAAAGGTCAGTGAGAGATAAGAAGGCAAAGATCTTAAGAAAATGTTTTAAAAGACATTGTCTCACTTAGATGATTTTTAGGTGGATATCTGAAACAAATTTCAGGAAGAAAGGCTTTTAAAATGTGAAGAGACATAAATCATATACTTCCCTTTGGAAGGAACTATAAAAATTATAAAGTCATAAAATTTCAGGAATGAAAGTGATTTTAAGATCAAGAACTTTGTTCTCCAGATGAGAAAACTGAAGCTCAGGATGAGTTTTAGTAAAATGTCCAAGTTTGCACAGTGAAAGTCAGTGTCAGTATATAAAGATGGGTCTTCTGTCAACAGGTCTAGAGCTTTTTATATTTCTCACCACCTTTTTAATGGCAAATGCATATTTTGCCAATTAAAGGTGTGTACTTTGGCAATTATAAAAATAATATTTCAGTCAGCATGCTTAAGGGCTTTGTTTGCTATTAAACTAATATCAATAGAGAAACCCAACTTCTGTTTAATGGGATTATAAACAAAATAAGAGATTACCACTTATGAATAGAATTTTACTGAATTTACTGAATTTTGTAGTATTTTCAATTGTGTAGATAAAAGAATTAAATAATATTGTCATTTCTATGTTTTCAGAGAACTTTGACATGACCTCTAAGTTCATTGTAAGGTATAGTTTTGATAGAATAAAATTAATAGTCTTTAGGTCTTTAGGTCAGAAACTATACTAGAAAGACCTTTAGGTAAACCTAAAGTGAAACTGAAGTTGAAAGCATTCTTATCTAGAATTTAAGGGTTATGTACCAGTTACAAGCCAATCAAAACCTCATTAGCAGCAAAAATAAAAACAAGGAAAACACCCTCCCACAATAATATAAACAAATAAACAGACAAAAACCAAATTTCATAGCACAAAAAGACAATCGCATAGAACAATAATACTAAGAGGCTAATGGCTCCTTTCATATTTTGTTAATCTATAAATTCTCTTCTCCTCAACAGAATTTCTGAAAATGAACTTGGAAAAGTTTTAATTTCCAATAATGCCTTGTAATTTGCAGGGGGAAAAAAAAAAGAGCAGGTAAAATTGGTGAGTAGGCACCCTGAGAAACAAGAAGGAAAAATAAGACTAGCAACCTGGAGGGACCCGGGACTACCTCAGAATGTCAGTGGGCATGGAGAAAATGACAGGAGCTTGTCACTTCTAAGTGTTTCTTATTAATTTTTAGGGAATAGTATGCAGCACAGTGGTGTTCCACATACTTTCACAAATAAAATAAGCCCCGCATTAGTTCAGGGGAGGCTTTGGGTAGCATGTTTAACAAAATTGCCGAAGAAATCAATAGGAAACATCACAGGAAGGCAGTGTGTGCTGTCAGGTAGTTATATGACTTTCTTAAAGCCTTCCCTCATCCCCTCGGGTTGCAGAAAACAGGAAGCATATAGTTATTTTCCTCAAACTTCAGTTCATACAAATGCAAGATTTCATTCACTCCATGGGAAAACAATGGGAAAGAAACTGACAGAAATAAGTAAAACATGTACCAGATGAAAAGAGATATTGCAGCAACCATGTAAATATACCTGGGAAGAAAGACAGAAAAGAGGAGGAGGGAGGGGACCCAAAGGAGAAAAGAGAAAGCCACTTGAGTTTTCTCACCTGGAGTTAGGCAATAAAATCACTTTTCACTGTTTACCAATCTAGAGGAGTAAATTATTATCAATCACCAACCCAAATATATACCGTAGCTCTCTATTAACTGTGGGCTGACTTTTTGCAATCATACTTTCCTTTGTCTGAAAATACTAAATGGACAACTCCACAAATAGTATTTCCTAAGTTTTAATTTGCAAACCATTCAGCCCTGCATGATGAAATCTCATGCTTTTCTGCTTCTGTCTATATTTCTTTGTTAAGCATATTTGTATACCTAGTATATTACTATGTACCCAAGTATATCTAGAATGCTCAGTTTAATGTCACAATTGTTCTATTTTAATATTTGCTGCTGTTGTTAGTCTCTTATTGGGCTTAATATATAAATTAAACTTAATAATATTTATGTACCTAGAGGGAAAACATATGGTTCAGTACCATCCATGGTTTCAGTTATCCCAAGGTCTTGTAATGTATCTCACATAGATAAAAGAGGACAACTGTATATTTACTTTTTTGATTTTTCATTTTTATTAATTACTTCCTATTTTATTTTCTTAGTAGAAATCTTATATATTGTTTTCTACTGGTAAGCTGATTCAGACATTGTAAGAATTCTACACCCATATTCATGCTCCTTTATCTCCACACACTCAAATTAGCTTCCTAGGAAAGTTCTTGGTCTCCCCACACCAAGCACAAGCTCTAAGTGCCAGAGAGAAAACCCCAAAGTTATTCTGAGTCAATGAACATGGTTATTTGGCAAATAGCCCCTTCCTTGCCCCTTAACCTGGATACCTCTGGAATCTGTTCTCACTGTTTCATAGGCTTTTTCTCCAGCAGGATCGCATTCCAGATGCCTCATTATGGTGGTTATGGATAGCCTTCACTATGTGATCCACCGCACTCCCACCCCCCACCCCCGACCTTCTCATTTCCCTATTTCTCATGGAATTTCTATGTATTGCCTCATAGATAAATTTCAGATGTCACAAATATTATATTTGTCTCCTTAATATTTTTTTCAACAATACTGAAATATATCACCATGTATTGAATAGCCATTTTCTCCCACCTGCTAACACTGAAACTATTTAGTTAATATAGGATTTTCACTGGCGAAACAAGTTGTTTATGGATTCTTTATTCTCATTCATTGCACTAATACCACATTGTGTTTACTATTACAACTCTGTTAAGGGTTTTGTTATCTGATAAGGTAAGTTCTAGTTCATATTAATAGGTTTTTAAACTTTAAGACATAATATATTTTTTCACATTTAACTGTTTGCTTAAATTATAGTCTCTCCTTTACAGATTATTACCTTGATAAAAAAGATATTTTCCCATTCAATTATTTGAAAATATTAAGTCTAATTATTTACAACATACCAGTGGAGGAAAATTTATAATCTGGATATTGATTTTGTTTCTGAACAAAATAAGTTATTTTGGGTTTCTTATTGTACATTTTATCTATTTATATACCCTGTGCTTGGAACAGAACATATGAACTTTCTTCGCTGTCTTATCCTTTCCTTCTAAAAAATCAAAAGGAATGTAACTTGGAGTTCTACTTGATTTTCTGAAAAGTGTTTGCTTCTGCATCAGCAATATAAAGAAAACGCCCTTTGTGCATTCACTTTTCTGGCTTCCCAGATTTAAGGGCATCTTTTCCAGACCCACCTTTTATTAGAGTCTGGCTTACTATTAGAACTKTCCCCTATATTATAAATAAAATAATTTTTTTACCATTCCTTCAATGGATTCTCTTATTTCATATATAGAACGTTTAACAATTAGTATTACTTCAATTAAATATAAATATAAATATTTTCCCATGACCTAGATTCATTTACCTTTATTCTAGTTTTGATCATAAAGGATTTGAATGCAACACGCTATTCTCTTTTAACCATGGTAAAGAAGAAAATGATATCATGTTAGCCAAGTATAATATTCAACAATTTGAGTTTATTAAGTGTTTCTAAAGAGTTTCCTTATTTCTCACCAATTTAATCTACCAGGAAAAAAAAAGACAAACTAGTTTACTTGTAAATACATTTTAATTTTAATCCTGACATAATTTTTAATATCCAAGGTGTGGATGTTTCAATGATATGCTGTACTTTAATTATCAGAAAATAACTTTATTTTTCCCATAAAGCATACATCCACAATTAAATGGTATTATCTTAATCTCTTGCTATAATTGGCATGTTTAAGGAAATAAAGTCCAGGGCAAGTGAGCAATGTCTTCCTCAAGGAGAATACTTACTTAAAATAGGAACAAATGCTTTGGTCATCTTATTGCAGCTGCTCCCATATATTGATAACTGCACAGCCATAAAGAACAACCATATGAGGCCTTAAGGATATTTTCTTTAAGTTAAATCAATACTGCCTTACATTGCATCACTTCAAATGAGGAACATAACAAAGTTTTCAGTTGTTTCAGTAAGAAAAAAAAATAAGAGTGASAGAGACAAGGTATAAATTAAGTTTTATATACACTTGTGCATAAGTTATTTTTGATATGTCTACACCCCTGTACAAGAGGGGAAGTGCCTTTATAATGAGCTGAGTCAGAGGGTAAGAGGTTGATCTGTTAGAAACTCTCTGCAAATATCAAGTGTACATGCCTAATGACTAATCAGTCTATCATGAATTTCATATTTTCCCCAAGAGTTCTCAAAATGATAAAGTGTCCTTTTTGTTTACAACATGAATTTAATTTCATTTCTTCCACAAAAAGCCTGTTCAGGAGATTTCCATTTATAACTCTAATCATCTGTACTCATTTATATCTTCTTAAAGATTAACTACCCTTTTAAAGCTACTTAATGTATAGAGATATAATGTTGCCAAAGATACACACACAACACATTTATACTGACTAGTATGAGTGTGCACTTCAGTAGTTACTGCTCAACAAATCCTTAAAAATTTGAGGGTTTTACAGTTCAGTTGGTGCTGGAGTATCAGTTTTGCTGATGTGGAGAATATAAATATCTCTATTCTCTCACAGTTCTTAAATTAGCAGGTCTTCAAAAACCCGAAAATGGGGTCAAAAAGGAGTGCATCTTCAAGGCATGGTTCTCTCAGCTCCTATGAAGTCATGTTTGCAGTTCTATTTGCCACATTGGTGGTGCTGTGTGCTGGACTAATAGCAGTGTCCTGGTTGGCAATCAAGGAATCAGAAGGAGGTAAGTCCCAGACCTGGCTGCTGAAGGTCTTTACAAATGCATCCTGACACTTTAATCTCACTTTTCCTATCAGTGTATTTTATTCACTGCTGTCCTTTCATGAAAAGATATTTTTGTTGCCTTCTGATGCTTCTCTGTCATCCTCTTCATAGAATATTAGATGAAGTTACTTAGTGTATAATTTAAAACAATCCAGAATTCAAGATTGAGATTAAAGTTTGCTTTTTCTTTCTTTTCTTTTTAGTGAATAATGTTTCTCAGTAGCATAAGACAAAATAGATTTCACAGCCTGTAGATTCACTATGTAGAATTAAAATTCTAAACATGTTAAAATATCTTAGAAGATACAACTTGATAAATATAAAATTAATGAAAATTATTATTAATTTTTATAGAATAATATCTTCCTTCTCTTATTAAGCAAAAAAAAATCATTAACACAGTTTAAATCAATTTGAATGTAAGTGTAGATTTACAAGGCTTTCAAACTGAATGGAAACTTTGATAAAAGCTCATTATTTAGAACTCTCTTAGTGTGTATCAACAGCTTTCAAAAGATTTTAAATGGCATTAACTTAAAAAATAAATCTATGGGTTAGTGATGAATCTAAGAGAAAAAAAGTACTAATTTGCTTAAGTTTACATCATCAGTAAATAGCAAAAAGATTCCAAACTACATGATCAAAGTCTAAAAGTTGTGCTCAAATTTACCACTTATGTACTTAGATTATAAATTAAATTAGAAACATAGCAATAACTGGAGTATTGAGAGTATATACTTTCTGAAACATCTTCACCATTTTTAAATGATGAAATATATATGCAAACTAACACTTTCTGAAACCTCAACAGGTAGGAACTTTTGCATTGTAAGTAATATTATTTTCATTAAAATATTTTAGCTTTGGGGTTAGTTATTTTACTCTAGTAAATAATTGCTTTAATTAGAATGCAATAAAATTAAAGTTTGATAAAATAATTTAAACATAATACCTGGTTTATTTTGATACTTTTGCTATATGCAAGGAATATATTTTAAAGAGAAAGAAGAATGGCAAATACTTTTTACATTTATATAAACAATTATAGAGGGTCAATGATATTTTTGAAAGAGTGGCTGCTTTGGTATTATTTAAATGGTGTGAAAAACTTCAAGAATTTATAATCATTTAGGACTCTATTAGAATCTTTGGTGCTTAGTAAAGATATAAAGGTTTACTATTTTATAAGCAAAATGGGAAATAATTATTTATAAATGTTATCCCAATTTAAGAGGGAACAACTAAGTATAAAAAGGAATTTGAGTTAAATATTGATTAGAACATCAGAGAGCATAACATAGACTTCAGTGATTTTAATTTTTTTTTACTTTTTTGAAAATCAACTTTAAAAAATTATCAAAATTTTACAGAAATATTATGCAAACTTCACCCAGTTTTCCTCACTGTAAGTGGTTTATTTATTTATAATAATTGTCAAAACTAAGAAATTCTATTGATAAAATATTAACTGAACCATACTTATTATTCATATTTCACCAATGTTCTGTTGTTCAGAATCCAATGTTATTTCCTGCATTGAATTTAGTTAACATATTTCCTTAGACTCCCCAATCTATGACAATTCATTCTTTGTCTTCTATATTTAAACATGAAATTTAAATGTAATTTTGAGTAAATGAAATAGCATAGGTTATATTCAAATAGGTTATATACAAATAATATTCCATTTTACATGTAGCACTTGAGCATACAGGGCTTTTGGTTTCCACAGAGGGTCCTAGAATTTCTTGTCCGACACACATATTAAGAATTAATTGTATATCTGCTAAATTAATGAATATAAATTTTAAAAATTCAAAATGATGTATTAAAAATAAAATATATCATTTATATAATGAAAACTATTTAAACTAAATTCAAATTCATTGTTTAATATATAAGTTTGAATGTTCTTCTGGACTAGAAAGTTTGGCACCCATGACAGATCTTGGGTTGTAGACTCAGCCATTGCTATATCCAAATTTCAGATCTATCACTTTCTATGTTTACAACCTTGGGACATTTTTAAATTATTCTAAGCCCTGATTTCCCCATTGTGGGAAGGAAAACCAACATCCTCTCATGCTATGTAACCATGAGCAYTATGTGTCATTGTTATTTCATTTACTAATGATTTCATTATTGTATGATTCAACTGAAGTTGTTCATTTTAAATATAAATATATCAAAGAAAATATTCTCATAATGTGATTATTGAATTTATCATTTCTTTTATTTTTTTCCTGTTAACATGATACATTTTTATAGCATTTTCAATAACTTCTTCAATAAAGATAATCACATCTAATGTCAAAATGCCTTACGTGCCAAGTTTATAATTACCACAATGCAAGAAGTAGCTTTAAATCTGTGTTTCAAAGTAACCTATACACTGAAATTTTCACAGTAATCCACATGTAGAAAACCAGCAGTGTCCCTGGATTCTAGGGGTTGAAGAAGTATCTGAAAGCAACTACAAAACTTTCAATGGTCTATTTCTCACCATGTTTTCCTGAATCAGTTCCCATAACTGGTGGAAACTGATTAGTCCCTGTGTCTTTCAATGGGAACCTCAAAAAATAAAAAAAATAAATAAAAATTAAAAATCAGAAGCTGATAGTGTCTGTTAGAATTCAAAGAAAGAAAATGGAAGAAAGAAGTATATTTTTTTAATCTTTTGATATAACCAGATGGCCAAAAGGAGAAAAAAAAAGAAGGGAAGGAAGGAAGGAAGGAAGGTAGAAAAAGGCAATTGATTTTGAAACAGGAAGACTACAAAGAAAAGGCAAGAGCAATGGGACCAACATATCAAGCAAGAATTTTGCTTACTTCTGTGTCTTATGTACATATTCTCTTCTCTTCATAACTCAGTGTTGTTTTTATTATGAATTTATCTAGATGCAGTATTTGGTATGAATCATAAAGTCAGAGGAACATTTAAAATAACATCTGGAGCTACATATAATCCTAATTTGCAAGACAAACTCTCTGTGGATTTCAAAGTTCTTGCTTTTGACCTTCAGCAAATGGTAAGGGACTGTCTCTCTTCAGCTGGTTTAAAATTTTATAACACAGCTTCATTAACTTTTTTGACAAAATATGCATAGATCCCATTTTCTCTTTATGAAAAAATAAATAAATAAATGCGGACACTTGAGATTCCTAAATGTGTGAATCTCCCATCAACACGAAGAAAATTTTATAACCTATACTTCATATACATTCTCAAACAAAAGTTGAAATTCTAAATTTAATGTACTTTTTTCAATTTTTTTAGATAGATGAGATCTTTCAATCAAGTAATCTGAAGAACAAATATAAAAACTCAAGAATTTTACAATTTGAGTGAGTATACTCACAAAAGTTTAATTGACATCACTGATCACAAACTGCTGATCTTCTTGAATATATATATATATATATATATATATACTATGTAAATATGATAAAATCACTATATATAGGGGAAAAAAGAAAAGTTTGGAATTTTTAACACTTGGTGTGGATTGAGAAGTAGTCCAGCATAAAATTTCATTTAGTAGCACATAATAATAATTTCTGACAATTAATCAAGTGTTAGCATGTTTCTCTCTCCTGAGAGTAAACTCTTTCAGGGATACATGGAAGGGTGGAGACTGAGTATCTTCACAATCAGATATAGCATTTAATTTGTTATGAACATGTAGAAGAAGGTTGTTCATTATTAATAAAATACTACTGCATCACAAGTCTTTATTTACATTATAAATCACAAGACAGGGGACTTTGAGTTCACTCTTGTACCCAGAGGGCATTAAGATTGTCCTCGGAGCAAATTAAGTAACCCATAAATGAATGATTTTTAGATTAATATGGTAATGATATGCTTGAAACTAGAACATACAGAGAAGTGTGTTTGTGTGTTTGTGTGTGTGTGTGTGTGTGTGTGTATGAGAGAGAGAGAGAGAGAGAGCACTAGATCAATATAGAAACACTTAACATGACATCTACCTTTTTAACAACACACTTTACTCTTGAATCACTGTATCCATAGGGAAGAGTCCCCTGTTTCCTATTCTGATATCCTACAGACTGGACATCATGATGATTCTAGAATTAACTGAGATTATTAAAGGGTCTTTGAAACAGAGTTACAAATCAGCAGCCATGTTAGCAAAGAAAATTGTAATGCTGGTTGGAAAATTATGTTAAGACAGTGTTCCATTTTTTAAAAAATAGAAAATGAAAAAAAAATATAACAGATCAAGACCTGATATATGTGTAAAAGAGGAAGAGAAAGCCTTCAAAATAACTCAGAATGAAAAAGTATTGCTAGAAAGAGAATGAGTGGTTCAGAGAGACTAGGTAATGTTTCCATTTCAGGATACTAATACTAATGTATGTCTTTCTAAAATGATCATGTGCTTTTTCTACGGCTAATTTTCATTTAAAACACTCAAAACAGAAAGAAAACAATAAGAGTTAAGCTTACAGAGTTACATATTCAGAAATTTGTCAGATTGGTGTTTTCTAGTATGTGAGTCCTGATGACGACAGTCCCCCTCTGGATAGCTCATTCTCTGAATTTCTTAAAATGTGTTAGGTCTTTGTGCACTACCTTTTCTTATTCTCCATCCCTATCTCTAACCTTGATCTAATCAAGCACTTTATAGGAAAATGTATGGCATAATATATATTCAAATTAGGGTAAGAAATATCATATGTGATGAACATCATTATCCAAAGTACATGTATGAAGACACAAATTGGTGTCAACATACATTATATACAACCAGAGATATGAAAAATTATGCTGTATATGTGTAATAAGAATTGTAATGCATTCCACTGTCATTTATTTTTTTAAAAATCAATAAAATACATCTTATTTTACAATATACTTTTTTCTTAAATCTTATCTTTTTAGTGGTTAGACATATGTTATTCTCTTCTGAATCATCAATGGTACTTGCTGGAATTAGCATATAGGAAAATAATCAATCAGAGTTGAATGAGTTAAATGAATAATGAAATAATCTTTGCAAGGATACATTATAGAATGTGAAGATGTGATAGTTCATGCAAAAATCTATAAGGGCTTTTTCTAACACTAGGATTGTGTACAATTTAAATTTGGTATGAATTAGTTATGTTTTAGCAATAACTTAGTTGGTGTTTTAGCAAAAGTTATGGGCCAACTGAAGATGAAGTAGGGAGTCTACGGTGACTGTACATTCTATGTTGTTTATAGATATATTAAAATATTAAAAGTTTATGTGTGTGTGTGTGTGTGTGTGTATTTAGGAGAATGCCATAGACAAAGAATTAAACATTAAAGAACTTATTTCCATTATAATGAAAATTATCATTATTTCTTTTTTCTTTTCTCCTAACAATGACACATTGTTGGCATATTTGTCTCATCTGAAATATTTAAAAATCATATCAGAGTTTTTTCTGATGGGGACTGGTGGTGTATCAAAATCTCAGCATTTTCTTTGACAGTTAGTAAGTAATCTGTTTCTCTACACGGTAAGACCCCTGTATTTGAAACTACACCTTAATTAAGTTGAGAAAATACTTTGCTCTTCTCCTTCACGGCAACATAGGAGGCCACTAGAGTGCCTACACCTTGATAAATATTTTATGATGATTCTCAAATAAGGTACTTTATCAGTGTAGAGATAGTTTCCTCTGGTGGTCACTGAATCAAAAGTAAGTTTTTGAAACATGCAATGCAAAAAAAAAATTCATGAAAATGTCTGCATGATAAATTATAGGTTGGTACATTGAAAGACCAAGAAGAAGAGAGCAAAAGCAATTCAGAATTGGGAAAGAGAGTAACAAGGAAACTTTTAGGATGACTTTAAGTAATCATGTATGAATAGACATATTCCTAGAAAAATTGTCACACTCATAATTAGCTTTTTTAGTCACTTTCAGTTTAAAATTCAGTTTATAAAATCAGGGCACAGAAGTATCTGAAATCTCATCTAAAATAACACATCCACACCATTTGTAACAAAGTACATCTAAAAACCAATTTAAATACCTATTTTCTTTCTTGTTATTAATTTTAATTAAATGCACATTTTGTATATAGTTAGATTGTATACATAGTTAGATTGTATCAGTCAGAATAACTGAAATTATCCATTAATATATTTTTATTAYTTTTTGTCACCAGCTAATATGTGTGTGTATGTGTATAGTATGTGTATAGAGTATATATATAYACGTGTATGTGTGTGTRTGTTTGTGTGTGTGTGTTGTCCTGTTCACAATAAGCAAATGGTTGGTTCTCCTTTGGGAATACTTTCTGCTATCGTGCCTTGTGGAAAGTGCTTTGATTCTCTTAACAAAATACTGTTTACACTTTGTGGTCATATGCACTAATTTTGCCCTTTGAACACAGATAAATCACAAAGTTAGGAAAAGAATGACTTTTGTTTACTCAGCAAACCTAAAGTTTATCAATATCATTAATGAAAATATGAGATAAGAAACATTTTGATCTATTTCCCTCATGCTGTGAAATGACAGGATTTATCTGCATTTAAAAAAAGAAATACTCAGCTATTCTACTGAAACAAGTACTTTGAAATGAAATGGGCCATTTTCCACTATAGAAATAAGTCTCATTTACCTTAATAAATAAACTCAAACACACAGCAAGTGATAGAGATCTTTATTAAAATACTAAAACACACACACACACACACACACACACATAAACACATAAAAATCTATAGTCTTCTCATGAGGTGAAACAAAAATAAATGCCTAGTATGGCTTTCTTAATTTCAACTATACATCTTTCTTATCTCAACATGTACTGAATAAAAAAAAAAAAACTTTAAAGAATCCAATTGTAAGTGGTTATAGAATATGTAACTTTTATCCTTGCAAAGCATACATTATTAAATGCAATGTATAATTCACAACCAAGAGAACACATCTTTCACACAAAAACCTTTTTTTGCCTGAGGATGAACTAATCCAATCACTTTCAACTCAGTGTAGGAAAATTACAGATTTGTACTTTCTCTACTCCATGTATTTTACTTTTCTACTCCCTAGCTCAAATAAAATAAAAGCAAGTGTTCCGTCAAGTTAAACATGTAGAAAATACATGAAGAACAAACAGACTTAATTATATTCTAAGTTATATACTGTGCAACCAAAGATAAAATGAAAATGTGCCATTGACAGCTAAGAAAATAACAGATACAGTTCACACTTACTTAAATCATATTTCATCCTGCCCTTTTTAAGCTCATGTATAATTACTCCTATCTTTGGAGGTTAGGTTGATTATGGAGATATAAAGAGAAGGGAGGAGGAAGAGAGGAAGGAGAAGAAGAAGGAAGAGAGGTAGAAATAGGAGGAAGAGTGTCTATATCTTGAAAATGTGTAGAGAATAAATATCTTTAGTGTCCTCACCAAATACCCAGATAGGTATTCTATCTTTTTAAATGTCAAATTCTTGTAACAATGCAAGATCATAAAACCCTGGAACTTTCTCCAAAGTAATGCATTGTAGTATCTTTCCTGGTTGGAAATAGCTCACAATAGTAGCTATAGAAGTGGCGTTCTGCCAGATATGGTGGTGTATGCCTGTAATTACAGCTACTTGAGAGGATACGACAGAAGGATCACAAATTGATACCAGCCTGGGCGACTTTGTGAGACCATGTCTCAAAATAAGAAAATGAAAATGGTTAGAGATATAGCTCATTGATAGAGTACCCCTGGATCCAATTCCCATTATTTATTAAAGATAAATAAATAAACATGTGAGTAAATATGGAAGGGAAGGTAGTAGGGAGGGAGGGAGGAGGGAGGGAGAGAGAGAAGAAAGAAGGAGGGAGGAAGGGAGGGAAGGAAGGGAGGAAGAAAGAGAGAGGAAGAGGGAAGAAGGAATGAAAAGAGTTGATGGTAAGAGATCAGGAATTATGTAAAAATACAWCCAGGAGACAGAGGCATAAGTATTATTCCTATCTCTAACTTATAAGCTATACTACCCTGGGACAAGTCACCTACAATAACCTGAGTCTCAATAGCTTTCTTACTAAAATGAAAATATTAACCAAAATGAGCTGAAAAGACAGAGCAAAGCACATCTCCTTTTCAGGAGTTTCTGTTCCAACAAATGTGGAATGAAGCCTGCGAGATGTGTTCCGGTTAATTTTTTTTWAAATTTTCAATTAACATAACACATGACTACAAGCACCTTAAATAGTACATGTTTATTACCTGACATCATACGAAAGCAGGAGATTTCAGTGGAATCTAATTCAGTGGTATAATGGTCATAATATGATTGGGCATAGATATAGTTGCTTTTCTTTTTCTACTGTGCTCTATTTAGCTTGTCAACCATGATTCACCTCCTCGTCCCACAATGATGAGGAAATGTGGCAATCATATGTAGACACAGTTATGTTTAACAAAGAAAATGGTACTCTTCTATAACCCTTCTTGCATTAGAAAAAGTTTTCCAAAAGTTAGCCATAATTTTCTCCCCAGATTTCTTGAGCAGAGTACAGTCATCTGCCCCTGCATTCAAACCTTGATTGAAATGAGGAATTGTTCAAGATGGTATCCTTGAGAGAATGCAGAACTATTCTTCAACACGGGGATCAGCCGGCATGCAAAACTTAATAAGAGTGGAAGAATAGTTAGAAACAGTGTTCATGACAAAATACACACTTATGAAAGACAAGAAGTGATTCTGTGTCTATGTTTGGGAACACAGATAAAAGTAGTTACTAAGGAGCCCTGTCATTTACAAGATTTTATTACAATGATTTAAGCAAATAGTTGGACGTTTAAATCTTGTCACATTTTAAAAGTAATTAATGCAATAGAAATGAAATATGAAATCATTGTATYAGAGAAATCTGTTTCTTTCAAACATGAAAAAAATAACAGCTATATGAGTCATTCCTGCGAACCTGAATCATGGTACAGGCATTAAGAAGGGTGTCTTATCTCCTGAGGATCCTGAACAACTATAATCTTTCGGGAAGATTTTGGTCTTTCATACAGTAAAGAAGGAAAAAGTTAACATTTACTCTAGGTTGCAGTAGGATAGTGGATAGTAATAGATGGATATTGTGTTAGTCAACTTTTCATGGATGCATGGCATGAACAACTTAAACAAATTTACTTTGGCTCATGATTTCAGAGGTTTTAGCTCATGATCATCAGCTCCATTGTTTTGGGCCTAAGGTGATGCAAAGCATCACTGTGGAAGGGCATGGCAGAGGAAAGCTCAGAGCAACCCCAGAGGACCTATTCCCTTCATCTAAGTTCCACTTCCTATAGTTTCCACCACCTCCCAATCATCCAGCCACATGACTAATCTCTTAATGGATTAATTCACTGATGAGAGAGAATCAGAGCCTTCATGATCCAATTACTTCCTAGGGCTTCAAATCAGAACACTGTTGTGTTAGGGGCTAAGCCTCAAATACATGAGTCTCTGCAGAATACTACATACCCAAACCATAGAAACTATATAAATAAAGAACTATTTTGGAATTGATAAAATTCTTCCAGTGAGACCTCATTAACTTACAGATACCACAAGGATACATGGGTATGGTACCTATATTTTGAAACAGCAAACATATCATATAAAAATTGATACTCCCTAGTCTGTYTGTCCCTCTGGAATCAAGTACACTCTGAGTACCCACTGCTTACAAACAGGTACAGAATGAACATCAGAATTAGGAGTTTTCTCTCAAATGGTTATATCCTAAAAGACTATCAATCATGTTAGTATAAATATAGGAAAGAAAGCAAAAAAACAAAAACAAAAAAAACAAACCAACAAAAATCTCAAGTACCTCTACTACCAAAAAAAAAAAAAAGTATTTGTTTTTGTATTTCTATAAATGGTCAAGAAAAAAATCTTGACAAGAAAAAAATGCATATGGCACCTCAGGATTTAAAATAAAAGGGAAGCTGATTACAACCACCTGGTTGAATTTGAATTTCATGGTGGGAGATGATGTAAGCAAGACAATTCTGACTATTTGCAATTAAACTGAATAGCCCATAAATCCTAAATCATCTTAGGCATATTTTTTTTCTTTTTTTATACCTTGAAACCAGAGCATATTGACATTTTAAGACTAAAGAGAATAAAGAGGAAAATAGTAAATATAATCACTATCAGCTTAGAATATCAGGACTTCTTAAACTATATAGAAAAAAAATTATGCAAAACTAGGTTTCTGCTTAAAATTTAACTAAATATATTAAGTCTTTTGGGTATAAGCTGAGGAAATATTTGTCATGCTACACACTTAATGGTTGTATCTAACACTAAAGAAAAAAAGGAAGTACACTAAGCAGATGCATTGGTGCTTGGTATGGTTACTTCAAGGAGAATAAATAAATATTTCTCAAATAAAAAAATAATAACCAGAGAAATTACAAATCCACACTCTTCACTCCTTCAAACAGTAAAATCAGAATAAATGTCATGATACCATGTGATTTTGTTTAATTTCACACAAGTGACTCTGATGAATAGCCTGGCCTTGGGATCAGGGTTCTAATGTAGAACCCAGAAAATCTGAATTCCAGTGTCTGTTTTGGAGTTTGTTCACAGAAAATCACCTTGTGTTTTAATTCTTTTTCTTTCCACCTTAAAAGTAAAGAAAATATTTAACATGACTTATCTTATTCTTTTTATCTTACTTTAAATTGCAAAAAAAAAATCACCTTGTAAAATGCATATTACAGAGTTGCTACCTTATACTGGTGTAATGAGGATTAACAAGATGATAACAAGGGAATTTCAAAGACATTTTACATGAATTGAGCATAAATCACTTGAAGACAGCTGACATTTTCCTCTTATATCATCTTTTGCTTTGCAGAAATGGCAGCATTATAGTCCTATTTGACCTTTTTTTTGCTCAGTGGGTGTCAGATGAAAATGTAAAAGAAGAACTGATTCAAGGCATTGAAGCAAATAAATCCAGCCAACTGGTCACCTTCCATATTGATTTGAACAGCATTGATATCACAGGTATCTGTGAGCATTATTTGATTTCTTTGAATCATTAAGCTATGAAATTAAGATTCTAGCAATATACCATAGAAGCAGTGGGATCGTCCTTGACTTTAGGAGCCTGTCTTTTGCCTGAGGTAACACATTAACATGAGAAAAGTGAAATATGGAGAAACTATTTAAAGGAAAAATGTCAGTGATAAAAAGTTTGTGAAAATATCAAATATCATAAAGCTTCTAAAAATATTGGTATGAATAAATGTTTGCAAGTCTTGACACATTCTTTACATCAGTCAAATATAGCTGGACTTTTCAGGAACCTTCTATCAGAAAGCACCACTTAAGGTTTTATGATTGAGGGATAGATATTTTCAAGGGGCAAGGTTCAGTCTGTAATTGGAAAGTTAGGGGGAAAAAGGGAGGGCAATAGATTTGATCTATCCTGTCCCTTATTTATAAAAATTATATCTTATTTTTAAAAATGATAATATTTACAATAAGATTAAACCAAAAGAGAAGATATTTGGGTATCAAAAATAATAGAAAATGGACAACACACCTATCAATGCTTTGTTTTAATTTTTCCACTCTAGTTACTCTCTATTCARTTCAATTCAACAATATATACACTGTAATTATTTTGGTTGAGAACAGTAGAAATTTGCTAGGCTCACAATTCTTTGCTATAAATTTTGGGGCCATGTGTGTTTGGGAATTCACAGATTTTTGAAAGCTCACATACAAAATTATATATATATATATATATATATATATACACACACACACACACACACACACACACACACACACACACACATATGCATACCAAGTAGAATGGAAACAAATTTAGAACAACCAAACCTCAGTTTAAATAGTTTTAATACAAAAAAAGGTCATTCAATATAGGTTTGCCTTTAAATTGAATATATGAAAACATGCAGAAGTACAGATTTTGTACTGTTCTTTGATTTTAGAATAGTAGATATAAAACTGCAATTCCAGTTGCTTCTCTTTCCAATGTTGGTTCCTCAAGTAGTTTCCTGTACCACAATGTCTCTTCCTGCATCCTACAACTCCTGCTCCCTGAGAAAGCTCATGTTCTTAGTACCTCCCCCATGATGGCTTGCTTCTCTTTAGCACAGTTAATGGGGCATAGATGGCCTACCTTTGTCTGATTCAGATTAGCTAAAAGTTACTATCAGCCATTATTAACTAGAACAGGTGGTTTACCTAACAACACATTTACTCCCCACATTGATCCTGCTATATGATGTCTGTACTAACCCCACTTTACAGAATAGAAGACCAAAGCACAGATAATATCAGAAAATTGCCTAAAAGCACATGCTATTTATAGTAAAATAAAGGATTCTAATCTAGGTGATCTGTTCCTAATGTGTGTACTCTTAACCCTCATTACTAGAGTTTATCTATAATGGTTTTATCTTTGAAAAATGTTCTTTGGTGGGTTTTCAGTAGTTGTTTTTCTCCTAAAAAGTTTTCTTTGTTATTTTCTTTTAGTTATTTCTTTTTTGTTTTGTTTTGTTTTTTGGGATTTTTTTTGTTTGGTTGATTTTTGTTATCTTTATTTAAATGTGTCTTGGTTTCTTGAGGCCTGTTTTGACAAATAATTTGAGAGTTATGCTGACATTTATTTTCATGATTTTTCACAGTTGGACAGTTTTAAGCAGGGAAGTTTATGATTTTAGAAAATATTGAGCCAAGGATATRGCTCAGTGATAAACTGCTTGCCTAACATGTGTGAGGTCCTGAGTTCACTCCCCAGTGTGGAGATATATATATATATATATAATTTATCTTAAATATTTTTATATAAATATTATTTATTTTATATATATAAATAACCATGCCTTTTGTCTTGAGTTAACTTAGAATCTGTTTTACAAATGCCATAGACCTTATATCAACATCAATTCATAAATATCTACAACAAGTTGAAGTTAAAATTTATTTGATTTATTGAACTGCATTAAAAGAAACTTATAAACAAGACAAACTTAATTTTAGGTGTTTATTTTTAATATAATATGATTTTCAAGTTGATTTTTTGTAAATTGATTAAGAATTTCATGCACATCTTTAAATTTAGTGAATACTGTCATGTTGAAAAATTTAAAATATTATCTTTATAAAAAATTTTTATAAATCCTGTTATCTTTTCATCAATAATCTACCACTTGTCATTTAAAAGCTGTCTTAGATCTCATATGAACAATAAAAGTTGAAAATAAATAAATAGTGAAATGAGCAATTTAGCAGACAAGAACATTCTGCTTAGTCTATGTATCATCAATACAGTTAAGAATAAAATCAAATTTACTAGACCTACAGCTGATGACATATGCTTCAGTTTTCTTTGTAGCTTGTAAATTGATTCACTATACTTTTAAAACTTTTAAATATATTAACAATTGAAGAAAATGATATTTTTCTTCTTTTGTCATACATTGGAAATCTCATTGATATCTAGAGACTAGATATTATAAAATTAGTACTCCTTTGTCCAGTGTATATACAATATATACAGTGTAACAAAGTTAAATGAAATGCATGTTACAGGGCAATGGGTAAGCTGAAATTTTCTAGCACATTCTAGCAAAACACCTTTGAAACTTCTTCCTTCCCACCTCCTTCAACTCATGAACAAGTATAGATGGTATTCTGTTCAGAGGTGGTTTAACAATTCCAAAGTCAGTATTTCATCAGTTTTTAAAAGCTATTTACAAAAATTTTTAATTCTACTATTTCTACTTTAAAATACATCAAGCACTTCTAAATGTAGAGAAGGACTAGATATTACACATAAGATTCTGTCCACTATGCATACAGCACTGGTATATAAAATAGCACACATAGCAATGGTTATAATCTGAGGTATCTTCTAACATGACCATTTTGTCCTTGAACCTTTCCCTCCTCACTTCCTTCTCTCTACTTTCAGTCCAGTGGAAAAGTACAGGCATGTTTAATGCTTAGAGATGTTGAATAAATTCATATCCAAAAGTTATTTACAGAGGACAAGCTTTCCTATGAATTTCAACACAAAATGTACAAAATGTGCTAATTTTACTAACTACTTGGTCATACACTGGTAACCTCTTTAACATCTAGAGACTAGATATTGCAAAATTGTTATTCATTTTTCCATTACACACACCATATACAAAACAAAGCAAAATGCACCAAACATACAGAAGGCTGATGTCTGAAAATATACAAGTATGAATTACCTTTTACAATTGTTTCCTTCCCACCACCTCCACATCACCGAACAAGTACAAGCAGTGCTATACTGCTCACAGAGGTGGTTTAAGAGTTTGATTCTCAAAAGACAATATTTCATGTGAATTTTAGCAAAAAAAGATATTTAAAAAGTTATATTTCACTACCTCTACATGTAATATACATTGGACACTTCTAAACATCTAGACAGACTAGATATTCCAAATAAGGACTCAATTTGTTCACTATATACATGACAGTCTTGAATAAACTGCACACATATAACTATAGTCCTAATTTTAAAATATTTTCAAAATATCAGCATTCTGGCCCTTCACCAACCCAATGGGCTATAATGCTTAAATTTTCAGAAAAGAATCTTTCCTAGGAATTTTAACATAAAACATACAAAATTTGTTTACTAATTCTACTTTTGTCATGCACTGGCAACCTCTTTAGAAAGACTAGATGTATAACCAGACTCATTTGTCGTTTATGTACACTAGCTACACAGAAAGGTAAAGCATAATCCATAGGCATAGGTACAACTCTTAGTCATGGTAAGCACACTGGCATGGTGCTCCCGAGGACCAACATACAACTCTTTTCTGTGAAAAGCATTTTATACTCATACTGCACTTGGTTCGTAGTAGATATTGTTATAGGCACAATTACTTTGTGATTGAGGTCTTCTACATGTCTCAGTGTAAAACCACAAGAGACTAATGTCACATTATTATGTGATATAAATTTTAATTATTCAATATGACTACAGAACCAATGAATAGATACTTTTCTTAAAATGTAGCACATAAAGCAAACTGTTTGTATAAATAAATTGTATAGACAGAATGTGCAAATACTGTAAATTCATCAAATGTAACACAACCATATCATGAATAGGAACATTCAACATGAGAGAGGACAAACAGGAGCTCTAAAACATCAGATGCCCTTTGAACAAACATTCAAACTGTATTCGGTGATTTGTAATACATTTACATTGGAAGCACAATTGTCATATCAACTTTACTTTCTTCTAGCATCTTTGGAGAATTCCTCCACAACTACTTTTGTTCCTGCAACTATTTCAGGTCAGTACTTAAGACATTTTTAAGAACATATTTGTGGTCATCAACATCCATGGTATTTTATTCCTGTAACACTTGCTGATATATTTAGTCTTTGTATGAAAATGCAAGTAGCATACATCTGGTTAGGAACAATACATTCAGAATATCACAGAGTTCATAGTACTAGTTACTATGTCAGTGGTATACCTTCTCAATTTCAATGTTCTTGTCACATTTAGAACTTTCTCTGCATGTGCTTGTGTATTTGTGTGTGCTGTTTCAAAATATGACTCAGACATGTAGACTAGATGATGAAGCCATACTGTTTGTAAAATCACTGACTATGAAAGAAAATTTTAACAGCTTTCAAATGATGACTTTCAAAATTCATTTTACTCTTTGGAAAGGAGAATCCAAAGTTTGATGCTAACTGCCCTACTTTAGCATCTTCTTTACTCCATCTTAACTTCAATTGCTTATACAATTCAGAAATTCACTTTGTCTTATCAAGATCACACCACTATCAACAAAGTTTACTTTGGAAAACTTAAGAAATTTTAGAATTAACCTTAGTTATCTTAAACTATAAAAACTTTTCTGTTGTATAAAAATCATTGGAATTGAAACCAGAAAATTTGGCACTAATCCTGGTTCTACAAACTACCAGAATAATTGAGCACAACTATTTACCCCTCTGAAAACCTGTATCCAGAATATTGTGAATAATTAAATTGTTTTGCATATCTTATAAGTAATTCTAAATGGGTTAGTGTATAAATTATTTTAAAATATAAATGGTTGTGCAAATTATAAAGGTAAAACTTTCAGTATTCTCTATAATAATAGTCACCTTCATAATATTTGAAAGACCTATTTTTAATGTATTTACCTGCATCAGGTTTTATATTTGATAAATATTATATCACAATTTTCAAAATAATTCTTTAAGGAAGTAACATTTTTCTACTTAAAAAGAAATGAGTAAAGTTGCATTCTGAGAGTCACAGGTGATTGTTAATAATCAAAATCAATTCTTCCTAATTCCAGAGCCCACAATCTAAGCATACCTCATTCTTCTATTTAAAATGCTTCTATTTAACCTAGAATCTCTTAGGTACTTTGAAAATAAACATGAGGTGCAAATCTAAATACCTTCACTCTATAACTCTAAAAATTAATGAGAAGCAGTACACAACATGATGGATTTGTTAATTAGCCTAATTTAATCATTATACATTGTAAAATATATATATCAAAACATCACATTGTACCTCATAAATATATATAACAATTATTTATCACTTAAAATAAAATATAAAATATAAAAAGAACACATGAAAGATCTATTCTTCGATCCAGATACAAATGACATATTCTTAAATTAATAGATAATAATAATTCACAATGATATCATTTATCTTTACAGACATCCTAACAACCAGAAGTCCTCTGGCAACTACAGGTCAGTCTAAATAATAATTTCTATATGTTTTTAAAAGGTTTTATTCGTGTTCCAGTTTAGATCTGAAAACTCTGTGATGCCAAAGCAGTTTAACATTACCCTTATTGTAAAGATAAGAAAACGGAAACATAGGAGATTGTACTTTTAGATTCAGGTTTAAAGTGACAATATTTTGGGGAGCTAATGCTTGGGTTATCTTACCTCACTCTATCAGAACAAAGTTTATTATCTGTTGCTAAGGATCAATAGTATGAAAATATATTCCAGAAAGCATGATGGTTTCATCAGATATTAGGGATTTTTTTCTTTTGATTTCTCTCTCTACATACAAGTTCTACATGCCTCTTCCTATTACTAAAGTACTGGTTGCCAAACCATGACCAAGCTAGCCTTGAAGTCATTCACTCAATAATAATTTTTTTGAATCAGTGTCTACTTTATGCCAATTCCTACTATAAATATTTGATTAGCCAATTTATCTGGATTCCTAGTAATTTGTGCTCCCATCTTTGTGCCAAGCAACTAAAATGCTTTCCCTAGTTTTGATTTAGTCTTCATGCTAAATAGCCTATGTGCAGCCCTAATCCTTTTAATTAAACTAAATAAAGTAAAAGTTGTGTAGATCTTCCATCAACTCCCATAATATGGTAAGTACCCCATATCCATAGAGGGGACATTTCAAGATGCCCAGCAGATGCTTGAAACTGCTGATATCACTAAGCTCTATACAGATGGTCTCCAGCTTGCAATAATTCAGCTTATGATTTTTCAATTTTATGATGGTGTTGTACTATACAACTGTTCTGGTTTTACTTTCAACATAATATTTAATAAATTACATGACATTCAACACTTTATTATCAAAGAGACTTTGTGTGAGAAAATTTTTCCCAACTGTAGGCWAATATAAGAGTTCTGAGCCTGTTCAAGGTAGTCTGAGCTAAGCTATGATATTGGTACATTCAATGTATTAAAGATATTTTTACCTATTATAGTTTCAATTAATGACAGGTTTATTAGAATGTGAATCTATTGTAAGTGGAGAAGCATTTATATATATATATATATATATATATATATTTAATTTTATTAAATATACACATCTGTGATAAACATCTGCCTTTCTATTTTATTTCTTTATTTATTTACTTCTGTATTTATTTATTTATTTATTCATTTATTGGTGCTAGAGATTAAACCCAGGGCCTTGTGCATTTGAGGCAAGCACTCTAACAACTGAGCTGTATCTCCAGCTCCTTTCTATTTTATATTTTTTTCTCATTTTACCTTTCTGTTTTAGAAAAGCTCTGTAAGATATCACTTTGGTTATGTCTAAATTGTCATCTGGCATCATTACTATTGTAGTTTGGGGCTATTTTTTAAAAATTAGAGTTATTTGCACTTAAGCTCTGCAAAATACAACAATCTGATCATTAGGACAGTTCCTAAGTAACTCATGAGTGGATAGTGTATAACATGTGGATACACTGAAAAAAGGGGCTTGACTCACACCCAATATGGGATTAGAGCAGCATAGTGCAAGTCTCTATCATGCTACTTAGAATGAAATTGAGTTTAAAACTTGTGAACTGTTAATTTATTGAATTTTCCATTAAATATGTTCAGAATATAGTTGACCTAAAGTAACTGAAAGCACAGAAAATGAAAGTATGGATAAAGGGGAATTACAGCACTACCATTTCATGTAACTAAAGTCTATATTATATGTTATATATTAAAAGAAAAGAACATTTGTAAAACCATAAATATCCATTCTTTGTAAGAGTTAATAATTCTTGCTTTAAATGGTTTGGTGTGATATTTGAAATGCAAGGTAATATATACATGAAACATGAATCAAAATAATTTAGAATACAAGCCATCAGAGCTCTAAAACCCATAGAGAAATCTATATGGCACCATAAGCAAGCCTGCTGTTGTGTTCTGGTACAGCCACACAGCAGCTCGACATACTTAAAAACTGTCATCATTAAGCCCACACTCCCTCTCTAAGTTGAAAAAAAATATTTACAGCATCCCAAACCAGCCTTTAACATATCTGAAGAAAAAATGCTTTTAGGATTGCTAATGACTAATTCTTTGAAGTTAAAAATAAACTAAAAAGGTAATTTACATATGTTTTAAGAAATTTCTTGCTAAAATTTTTAAAATCCAAATATCCAAATTAATGCCCATTTTTTAATTTTTATGTTTGTGGATTTATTGAATGATTCATGTCAACCAGTTACTGAGCTCCTCTTAGCTGGATAAAATGTCCTAAGAGAACTATGTGGAATGACTTAGGGGAAAAAGAATCAGTCCTAAATAAAGCAAGAAGTCCTTGAACTTCAAACAAATTTTTTCTCCCTTACTACTCTAAAGACAAATCTTCCAATAAATATAGAAAATTGGTTAAATCACATATTCAGTTTCCCATGGTTGGAGGAGATGGTGAATGAGGGGATAGAGAATAAGGGAGATCCATCACCTCTCCATTGTTTAAACTACAAGAATGGGGTCAGATATGTTTAGCATGTCTTTCACAATTTAATTGAGATTTCAAATAAAAGTCCAATACAATATAAAATTCTCAGTTGTTGAAAAGACATGTGTGAATCCACCCATTACCTAATATTGCCAGTTACTCCAGACTTGTTTAGCAAGATAACTAGCTTCTTTGATCTTTATTTTTATTATCTGAAAAATAAAGAGTAAAAAAAAAATTATGCCTTCAAGGGTGATTGAGAATTAAAAAGAGGTCATATAGATTCTACTACATCGTTGTCAACTCAGTGACTCATACATCAGAGGGTCACAATCAGTATTGGATCACTTCCCCCTTCCCCTACTGACTTGGACCCCAAAGAGAAAAATAATAATAGTTAAAATTGTAGACTTTTTTTAAAAGAAGATTTTTAAAAATCTGTTTAAATAAAATAACATGATTATATTTGGCAGTGCTCATTTTAATAGAGTCACTTTTAACCAAAAATATTTAATTTCAAAACATTTCCTGTTATTGAATGTTGTGTTGTTTTACTTTAATTTGTTTTCAAATTATTATTATTATTATTATTATTATTATTATTATTATTATTATTTATAATACCAGGGATTGAACTCAGGGACACTTGACCACTGAGCCACATCCCCAGGCCTATTTTGTATTTTATTAAGAAACAGGGTTCACTGAGTTGCTTAGCACCTCACTTTTGCTGAGAGTGGCTTTGAATTCTTGATCCTCCTGCCTTAGCCTCCCAAGTAGCTGGGATTATAGGTGAGCGCTACGGGTTGGAGGAGAGGGTGGCTCACTGGCTCAAAGAATTATTATAAGACAAATAGATGGCAAAATATCCCATTCCCTTTTTCACTAAATCCATGTATTGCATGTGTTCTGAAACATACTTCTCATTTATTCCTCTCACAAGGCAAGATGGTATAGATTTATAGAGGGGAATGAGGCAATTAAACTTGAGAACTGTGGTTTCCAAGCAGTAATTTATTATGGATATGCCTTTCAGGGATGTTAAGTTTATTCTCATTTTTATATGCCTGGAAGATAGAGTTTGAGAAAAATCAACAAATGCAYGCATCATATACCTGGCATCAGTACTATTATAAATTCTGCAAGAGAATTTTTGTATGATAACAGGTACAAAGTCCATGAGGGTTAGGTTGTATTGTTCTACAGYCTTTGCTGCCAATTACTGTAAATTTTTACTAACCCATTTGGAACACTAGCAGAGAGAACTAGGAGCTAAYGTGGCATTATACAGATTGATTTTTTGGCTGCTACAGAGTGCCTAGTGGGGCTGTTGGGCAATTACTCATATGCTTGAAGGGTTTCTAGACTGCAGCTTTTTCTAGTCCTTTGTTGCTGACTGTGCAGGCATTGATTGCAGAAAAACAAAAATGTCACTATCATGGGCTTTCTCAATCTCAAACAAAATGTAATCTTGGTATAACTTCAATATGTGGAAGAGTTTGGGGACTGAAAAAAAAGACAAGTTGGCTGATTTTGTGAAGAACTTGAAATTGAACCAAAAGAAGCTAAGATAGAATCATGCCCTTCAATTTTATTGTTCCAAGACTGAGGCACAGAGGCTTTATTCCTTTTATATTTTATATACACACATATATATGTATATATATATATATATATATATATATATATATGTATATACACACACTCACACTCACATATAAATTTATACATTTGAAATATTTTTCTTCTGCATTTGAGAACATAATATTTATTTAGCACTAATCACTCTCCTCTAATTTAAAATGTTCGTATTCAATGATATCAGTACTTTAAAAGATTCATCCATAATAATTTCATTTGAATTGAAATGCCACAGTCTTGCTTAAAAGACTAGATTTGTTCTATCAAAGCAGATGAGAACTTATGTAAAGTGATGTCTATTTTCTAGTATAGCAGAGTGAAATGAAATTAGTTACCAATTCAGACATTCATAGATTCAGATACTATTTATTTATTTATTTATTTTCCTTTTTTTTTTTTTTTTTTGTAACGGAGGTTGAACCCAGGGGTGCTTACCCACTAAGATACATCCTCTGATCCCTTTTTTAATTTTTTTTATTTAAAGATGAGGTCTAGCTAAGTTGCTTAAGGCCTTGCTAAGTTCCAGAGGCTGGCTTTGAACCAGTGATCCTGCCTCAGCCTCCCAAGCTGCTGGAATTACAGGCGTGCATCACCACACCTGACTAGTAGTATGTGAGCTATAGAAATCTTGGGCTAATTGGTCTTAAGTAAGTTCTGGCCACCTAGCATTATTATATAAATGAAAGGAAAGTAGAAATTCAAAATTTCCAAATTACAATTTTTAATTTTTGTCTTATTATAATATTTCTTGCACATGATTTAGAATAAAGGCAAGAATTTTACTCTTATTCTCCATGCTGCCTAGCACCAGCTTGCACAATGTACATACAGGAGTTCTCTGGTCCCACATCACTAAAAATTGTTTTGACTTTAGATCACTCTGAAGTAACCACATTTCATTTATGCATATACTGAATCCTCTATACAAATATAATTAGATAATTAAAATGATCTATGTGAATAATTTCAAAACAATGCAAATTTACTAATGTGTTTTCATACTATGTAAAAAAAAACAGTATCGTGAAGAAAAATACTCTACAAATATGAAAATATGTGCAAATCTTCTTTCCACTCAAATAAACAGTAACTAATATTCAGGTAATGTGATCAGCTTCTAATGAACCACTTATTGTTTTCTTTGAGTACATTTATTTAAGTAGAATTCATTAACTCCTTCCAAACATTTTCTGTTAAGAAGTACAGCTTAGTACTTCTTAGAGAAGAAGAAATAATAGGGCAGAAATTAAGGAATGAGATGCAAACCAAGTTGTAAGTCAATGAACTCCCATTTTAAGAATAGAAGTCATTTACAAAAAGACTGCCCTATGATAGATTTCTGTAACAACTAATATCTTAGTCAATCATGTCGTCAGAAACTGAAATCATGACTGTATAAATAAGGGAAAATAGAAAGAAGACTGGGTAAAATTATGATTTGACAAAATCCTGAAACTCATTATCCTTATATAACAATTATACTTGTGTTTTCCACTTTAATTTCTAAATGAGAAACTTCTGTCTCTTCATGGATCAAATCAGCTGACGAGTACTTATGAAATAATCTGGAGAGAAATAATGGACAAAACCCAAACAAGAGTATCCAATATTTCTACCTTCCAGTGAAAATGCTTTAAAATAGACTCATTTTCTAGTCCCATCATATGTTTCTATTCTAGTCACTATTGTGACTAAACACCATTAGTAATTTAACTGCCCATCACTTACACTTGCTCCTTTTCCACCTCCTCTGGTCTTGGTCAGGAACTCATTTGATCATTGAAGCTCATCACTCTGTTAAATCGAAATTCATTCCAAGCCCCATCTCTCTGGCCCATAAGAAAATTCAGCCATTATGAAGGTCCACCTGGGGAACTGAAACAGCTTCTCCACTGCTCTCATCTTTCCAGTTGATTCTCCACATGACCCCAGAATTGCCTTTATGAAACATGGGCTGGTCACATCACACAAGTATAAGAAAACTTTCTATGTCATTTCCTGTAGAAAMGCATTTCTAACATTTAACGAAGATTAAAAGGGCCCTTAAACCTGGCACCAAATCCCCTTCCTGTTATGGGTTCCATTCTTTTTTTCTAGAAAACTTAGATTCATCTGGTTTCCACATAGGGATCTGATTCTGTCACATCGTCACATACACCTATCCTCCTGGTTCCCTTCTAACCATCCTTCAAAATCTAGTTTAAACACAGCCTTTTCTGGGATGAGATCTTTAATCCCTCCTTCAGAAGAAAACTAACTCTTGCTGCTTCTACAACACTTTTTTTAAAACATCTTTTAAAAAATTAATGAACCAGTCTCCCACTAAATTCCAGGCTCTGTGAGAACAGAGGCTCTTCCTTACTCATCCTCTCTTCTTTGTCCCTTAAAGTTCCATGACACAAGTAGTAGACAATAACGAGTTGTGGAGCAAATGAATGGTCCATAGTGAGATCAAAGGGTCCCAAGAGCTATCTTTTGCCCAGGTTTGATCTATTGTTCAATAGAGAATGGGCTGAGATGTGAAACTTCTGGAAGTGACACTGTCATGAGAAGAATAAGGACAGCCAAAATTATGTATCTTCCTAGCTATATCCCCAAATCTAATCTAAGTTCTGAATACACAGGATCCTATTAACAACTGTTAAAATAATATAAAATTTCAAGTAAAGTTCTTTTTCCCCATCTATTTATTTATATTACTATAAATAAATAAAATTGATTTATCAAACATTTATTCAGTACTATCAACTAGTATGCCTTTTCCAGATTGGGACTCAATGATAATGACTCTTTGGATAAATAGCTTTTATATATGACAATTCTAATGAATTCTACTTTGGGAATTATTAAATAACATTTTATTATTCTTTTATTCTCTTAAATGGGATATTATGCCATTTTTGAATGACTCTGATATTTGGTCCTATTTTAGATATTAGGTGTTCCATAAATTTCCCAATGGTTTATGTCCATTTTAATTAGAGTCAGTTACAAAAAGCTAATTTAGTTGTGGGTGTATGTGTGTGTGTGTGTGTGTGTGTGTGTGTGTGTGTGTGTATAGTAACCCTGTCTATGAAAGTTTTTAATCAAGTTTTACCTCAGTAGATTAATTGACATAAAAATATTTTTTTATTTTCCTAGTTGCTTTTGGAGCATAACAAATTTCATAATTTCAAATTTTTATATTTTTAAAACCCAGCAGATGGCAGTACAGTTCTGGCTTTAAGACTAAGACCAATAACAAAATAAATGCTATTGAGTTAAAGATTTCAAAATCTTTAGGCCATCATTGTTATTATAGTTAGAGAAAAAAATATTCAAATACCCACATTACTCTGAAAACTAAAACCATATTTTATCTTGTGGATATTTGAGAACATTTCTGATTTTTAGAGTTGCACTTAAAATTTTCCAAGACAATTTCTAGATGTGAAATGTGTTTCTTGGTTCCTCTCTATAYCTACATGTGAGGAAGTGGGCAGGTGAAAGGGAAGACAGGCTGAGATCTGTAAGTTAATCAGATCCTGSTCAGATTATGGCAAAGAAACTTGCAGGAGTGTGTTTTTATCTTATCCTCTAGGAATCTCTGATTCAAGAAGCAAAGAGATATGAAACCAAAATAACCATGGGATTCTTTACTGCTGAATGTAGCAATGTACTGAGAATATTAAATTTGTTATCTTACTTTAAAATGTCTTTCATTGATGTATTTTTATTCTGCAGAATGTTTATCGCTAGAATCCACTRTATTTCCAAATAATAAGTTTAAGAACAAATGAAGTGGTTACTATATGCTGCTGCTGATAAATTCCCCATACAGTACAACAATGCCAGGATTTATAAATATTAAGGACTAAATTCTAAACTCTAATATTACTTTATCAMGCTTAAAATAAAATTTTCACTTTAACATTTACAAAGAAATTTTTTCAAAATTTAAAATCTTCTATATTTAAAAATACTTTATTCATGAAATGAAATAAATATTTCTATTGGAAAGTGAAGTATATACTCATTAACTAAGGAGGTAACTTACAAAAAAACAAATAACAAATGTTTGAACATTGTACATTTTTCACCAATTGGAAATTAATTCTACAGTACAAGCTTATAATTTAAATCTTTTTATGTTTTTAAGGAAATGCCTCAATAGAGTGTCCACCTGGCTTCAGGCCTTGTGCTGATTCTCTGAAGTGTATTTCAATTGATTTATTTTGTGATGGAGAAATAAACTGTCCAGATGGTTCCGATGAAGACAATAAAATTTGTGGTAAGKTCTCCCACCTGTTCTCTCTCCCCCTTCCCTGTGTCCTCTCTCATTCTACATACACACTCATCAGACATCTGAAAGTATTGAAGAATGAGCTTTTCCWATAGCCATGTGTATAATTTCATACAAACTCTAGAAATAATAGTACTAATATTTTCCTAAACTTTATTACATAATGTTAAAGATGTTATTAATTTTACAGAATTCTTCATAACTGTAAAAGAACTCTGTGATCAGCAATGTCTATAATTAATGAGGGATGAGAGTCATCGTTTTCATCCCTTTTCTATATTAAATTACTACTAATTCTAATAAAATTGAATTCTTATATTTGACGTTATATTTTTAAATAATTTTTTTCATTTTTTTTCACTATCATATTTTAATAAGCCTTTTCCCCTACAGTTTAACAGCATCTAATCCAGTAAGYACCACCCAATTTTGATTGTTGCTTTTGTTTGCCTCTTGTAGTTCTGGCAATAATGCAAACACTAATAATTAACAACTTATTGTCTTATGATAAAACATCTATGTTTTATTTGTATATTTAGCACTTATTTTAGTGTTATTATTTTAGTATTAGTATTAGTATTAAATGCTTCAGTAGCGTATAGCAAACATAACTCTAAATGATCAGACATATTTTCTCTTTGGCTTATTACTTCATTTTATAATTCAGTTCCATTTAGAAAAGTTTATTAGAAAACTATTTTGGTAAACTTTTTGCTGTTGTGACAAAAGACCTGAGAAGAACAACTTAAAGGAGGAAAAGTTTATTTGGGGTTCACAGTTTCAGAGATCTCAGTCTACTGACTCCCAAATCCATTTCTCTGACTGGAGATGAAGCAGAACATCATGGCAGATGGGTGTGGTGGAAGAAAGCAGCTCAGAACATGGCCACCAGTAAGCAGAGAGTTCCACTCAATAGGAATAAAATATAAACCCTAAGTGCAGGTCCCCAGTAGCCCATGTCCTCCAGCCACACCCCACCTACTTACAGTTATGACCCAGTTAATCCATATTAATGGATTAATGCACTAATTAGATTAGGACTCTAATAAACCAATCATTTCTCCTCTAAACTTTCTTACATTGTCCCACACATGAGTTTTTGAGGGACACCTAATATCTAAACTATAACAAAAGTAATATCTAACTGGGTAATTTATCTTGATATGTGTCATACTTAAGAAGATTACCACATAAATGTCAGCATGAATTAGTCAGCAATGTGAAGAACCATTTGGATAAACTAAGCAAGAATTTATTTTTAAAATATTAAACAAAAAACATGTACCTTTTCTCCTTTTTTTATTTTTCTTTCTTTCTTGCTTGCTTTTTTTTTGATATGGTTTATAATTAGTTTTTAAATTGACTGTGAATACAGTTAGTTCCTGAAGTGTGTTAAGGGCACAGTTTCTATTTGCTGCACTTGCCTCTTCTATTATATTACACTTTTTTTCATTTTGCTTGATATCAATTGAAGATGAATGTTTCAATGAGGAGCCAAATGTTTTAAATTACCTCTTCACTGGGTACATATTTTATAAGATGGGCAGTTGGTCTGTTTCCCAGCACCAGCTCAACAAAAGGTAACTCTGCTAAAGAGACTTCCACTCAGCAACCCAATTCAAATGTTCTTGGATAAAATTCAAAGCTACAAAGTTTAACTATGTTCTGTGAAGTGCACTCAGAATATATTGGTAGAAAGTGCAGGCTACAGAATATTTTTTAATCTATTTTATATAACTAAGTTACTCAAAGAGGGAAAAAAAAAACATCTTTTTTGCTATAGTTTTCACAGATTTTCTGAAACCTTTTCAAGAGAATGATGCAAGTGTGCCATCAAGAGGTAGCAGAGGTGATGTTGATTTTTATTTCAAAAGTAAGAATGAATGTCAAAGACAGACACACAGCATTAAGCCTATGTAATGAGGATCAATAACTTAAAGTGAAAGAAAAAGCATAACTAATATATTAGATGAATCAAATAATCAGAACATATATCACACCTATAATTTTGTCTCTATTTTCATGGAATTTATAATTTTTATAAACTAGTATCAAAGTATATCAAAAAATAACAATGAAAGAGTGACAATTTGTCCCCCAAAAAGTTTTAAGGTAATGATTACTTTTCAAAGTCCTTATAAACTCATCAGGCGAGCTTCAGTTTTAGAATTAATTAGCTAAATTTTCTTTAARGACATAATCAAACTGCACTATTATTTTTACTATCATAGAAGCTTTATGATTATTAACTTTAGTATTGATCAGCTTTCCATGTAACTGTCTTTAGCCTCTGTATCAATATTAATTCTCATTTTCCCAATTATCATATTTGCATTTTAAAGTTAGCCTTGTATATATTGGAAAATAAATTTGAATTATTTGTGAAATAAGGTAGTGGAAAATTCAATCAATTACTCTATCTTTATCTAGTGGGAATTCAAGATTCAAGTTGTATTCATTTTAATTATTGATGGTGTGCAAAAAAGCACAGTGGACTATATTGCAGCACCAACTTAAACTTTAGTAGCATAATTTCCACCTCAAAGCCCTTGTCCATCAATCTACAGTCACAGAAAAATGCATAACATTAAGAGGTTTTCTCTATATGAAATTAACCTTTGCCCTGTCTCTTACTCATTTATTTTGCTCCAGCTGTGAGCCCTAATTTTAGTTTGTGTTATTAATAGAGTCACATTAATGTTGACTTCCTCACACAGCTTCTTTTTTTAGTCTTTGGTTATTTAGGTTTGCACAACTTATAGCTGACTATAGCTAAACCAAGATTTCTTTAAATTGTTTTTCACTTTTGATTAGAATTGCATCAGCAAGAAAGTTCACTTTTTAGCTGACCTGTGAGAAGAAAAGATGCTGACTCACAGTCTTTAAGAGAAGGTGCAGGCCTATTTAAAAGTTGTAGAGTGTCCTCAAAATTTGCATGCCTCGTATGTATGTGTATAATAGACCATTGTGGATGGGGATAGGTCATGATAGATTTATATACATCTTGGAGAATTCAGTGCCTGGACCAAATAAGCTCTTGGTAAACATAGAACCAGCAGGGGGAGCTCTCAGTACATACCCTTCGGAATCCCATCCCACTACAGGCAACATTTCTGATAACATAGAAGAATGGCTGGTATAATTTGACAGATTCTCACTCTCAAAAAATTTTTTTTCCTAATGATGCACTAGAAAGCATTGAGCAATGCACAKTCACAGTCCTGAACACCCAGGAATCCTATTCATCCATGGTTGAGTTACATCTGCTTAACCTGAAAGCCTATCTTGTTCCATTGTGAAAGCATATATACAAAAGCTCACAGCACAGTCCCACATCTTGAAATGATAGCATTTTTACATTTTGAAATTTKTGTTATAAATAGTTTAATATTGCTGCAATTTTAAGGTCCCTCAGGAATATYCTCCCTCTTTGATTCCATTCAGAAATTTGTAAGAGGCCCTTTTGAGTGAGATTTACCCTGGATTTATCCACTTGTAGTAAAGCTTTGCAATTCCAGGGACAGGCAAACCAATCATATTCTTTAACATAGAATTAATACCATGATAAAAMAAATCTTAGCAATTTGAGACAATAATAATTCACCTATATCACACCAGGAATTATGGGAAGGGATTGTACTCTTTGTAGGCATTCAGAGTTCCAGGTCTTCTTCCTTTACCTTCTCTGCCCCCAGAGTCCTCCAAAGAATTCTCTACAACCTGCTCACAGAGAACATAATAATGTTACAGAACATCTTTTTTCAAAACTTTTGGAAATAGACACAATTACTTCCACAATAGTTTAGTAACCAACTTAGTCACATGACTCCATCTGACTGCAAAGGATTTGGAGAAGTGTGATATAATCCTGTCTTGGGAAACAGAGTCCAGCAAACAGACAAATCTCTGACTCATGGCCATAAYATTTTGGAAAACTATAAATCTTGTGCAGCACAAGTCTGTTTATACCTTTCTAAAACCATCTGTAAAGTTTGAAAAATTACTAAARTTTCACCAGCTTTGCAAATTGATTTTGTAAATTGATGTTGTTTTGTTCCCTTTTTAATTCTGCACATGCTTTGCTTCCTCTTGTTTGTTGTGGAATGCTATTATAAGTGTGATCTATATTCCATTTTTCAGAAAATTGGAAAAGATGGAATTGTTGAAAATTTCCTTCTTCTTTCATGTACACTTTCACCYGCTCAGAATGGGTTATGTTGTCTACAATAGCTCTATTATGGTATTAGAAAATAAGAGCACAGTAAGACTGCCCAGCTTGAATTGCTGTTTATAAGCTGGGAAACCTGATAATAATGTAACCCCTCTAAATCTCAAGATTGTTCTTGTCTAACATTAATTGGCATTTTTTTGCAGCCACAGCTTGCGATGGAAGATTTTTATTGACTGGATCTTCTGGGTCTTTCCAGGCTATCCATTATCCAAAGCCATCTAAATCAAGTATTGCTTGCCGGTGGGTCATAAGGTAAGAGTCCATCTTCTATGTTCTGTTCTTTAGTTATAAAGTCTTTTTCTGATTCAATGTCTTATCACTTCCAGTAGTATTTTTTAACAATAATTGTTACCAGTAACTACAAAATTCTTTCAAACAACAAACTGTTCAAAAGTTTTTCATTCTCGTTTTTACCTTTATAAAATAGTCTGTCCTATGTATAACAGTTTTTAATAGATGAAGCCATATCACTGGACTCTGAAACAAGTTTGTTTCCTTCTCCATGACTGGCACAGATTACATGCTACTAAAGTAACTAGCACACATATACAGCTGTGTGTCACAAGAAATGGAATTTCTTGTCATCTGCATCTGTCCTCAGAATGCAGTTCTCTGCCCATATCCACAGGGAATTGGTTCCAACCCCCCACCTTTGTCAATACCAAAAGCAGTGGATGCTCAATTCCTTTATATAAAATGGCCTAGTATTTATATAGGACCTCCACACATACTTCCATATATGTTAAATCATCTCTAGATTACTTATAATAACTAGTTCAATGTAAATTCTATTTAAATAGTTTTGATGATTGTTTAGGGAATAATGACAAGAAATGAAGTCTTTCCATGTCAGCACAATTACTTCTAAGTATGTTTGATTCTGTTAGTCAGCTTTTCATTGTTGTGACCTGAGAAAAGCAATTTAAAGTAGGAAAAATTTATTTTTGGCTCATAGTTTCAAAGGTGTTAGCCCATGGCCAGCTGGCCCCATTGCTTTTGGGTTTAAGGTGAGGCAGTGCATCATGGAAGAAGAGCATGAAAAACAAAGTTGTTCACCTTATGGCTTTCAGAAGCACAGGGGG